TGATGTATTGAGTTTGTATGCCCTGATTGGCTAGGGCTTCTATGACCAATTCCCTCTCAACAGAATCAAAGGCCTTCTTTAAATCAATGAACATTACACAGAGTGGCATCTTGAACTCCTGAGAAACCTCAATGAGCTTAGTAATCGTGTGGATATGGTTGATGGTACTGAATCCTTTTCAGAACCCGGCTTGTTCACATGGTTGTCCTTCATCTAGTGTTCTGCTAATCCTATTCAGGAAGACTGGAGTGAACATTTTGGAGATGACAGACAATAGGCAGATTGGACAATAGTTGCCAATGTCGTGGATGTCTCCCGTCTTGTATAGTAGTGCAGTCTTGCTGGTTTTCCATTATGATGGAAATTTGCATTCAGACAGGTAGTGTGTGAAGAGCCGAGCCAGTGTATAGATGAGTCCTGATGGTGAGTTCTTCAGGTGTTCAGGTCTGATCTTGTCTGGGCCAGGTGCTCTTTGTTTCTTTACCGATGAGAGGGCGTGTTGAATTTCAGAAGGGAGAACATTGGGAATGATATATCCATCGTGAGGAATGCTTTTTGTGGGCAAGTGGACATGGCTATTAAAGAGATCTGAGTAGAAGTCATGAATAATCTTCTCCATTGCTCTTCTGGAAGATGTGATAGATCCATGAGCATGACGGAGGGCAGTCAGTCATCTTGGTCTTGTAGTTGGTGAAGGGCAGGCGGGCATTACGAATGCTTTTCCCGGCTTCTGCTGCATCTACCAGCACCACTGTTCTCCTATCTTTGAGGTCATCCTTGATGGCTTCTCTGCATTGTTTTGCCAGCTCAGGCTTTCACTTGCGTTGCCTGAGGCATGTGCCAAGCCTCATTGGCGAATAAGTTCAAGAGTGTTCGAAGAAAGGCGTTTTTTTTTGTGGTTATCTCTCTCTTGGCATTCCTCGCACAATCATGGAGGTGCTGAAACATTTGATCATATTCCTCATTAATGTTGTCAATGACGGCATCTTCCCATATTGCCGCAACAGAGCCAAGGATCTCCCAGTTGGTGATCGTTCTGGGAGTTCTCTTCTTAACTTCGCATTCTTTTCTTATTATATAGGTAAAGGTAAAGGTAAAGGCCCTCCCGTTGATCGTCGATTTGCTCGAGCGGGCCCAGTAACGTCTCCATTGGAGACTTTGTTGTTATTGTGTCTGGCATATCGAATACTCTCGGTAGCTTGCTGGGCTCTCCGAGAGGGGCAGAGGAATCGAACTTGGGTCGGCCATGTTGGCCGCTTGTAAGGCGAACGCCCTACCCGCTGTGCTATTGCTCCAGCCCCCTTCTTATTATATATTATATAATACATATAATATATAATATAATGTATAATGTATATTATATATAATTTTATATAATTATAATTATATGATATAATATATATTTGTGCATGTGTGTTGTGAGTAATGAAATATTAACAGTGCAAGGAAAAATAAAATTTGGATATGTTTGCAACCAGGTTGGAACTAGAAGTTTTCTTGCTGAGTGAAATAAGCCAGAAGCAAAAGGGCAAACACCTGATGATCTTACTAATGTGCATTGTATAGAATAACTGGAAGAAGAAATGTAATGAATGTAAAGGGGAGATGTCTAGATAAGCCTTAACCCTAGAGTATGGGAAGGAGTACAGAGAAGCAAAAACAAACAAACAAAATAGAAAACAAACAAACCCATAAAACAGCAACAACAAAACAAAAACAGGGATAAGGAAGAAAAAGAAAAAGGATAGTGATAGAGAAATAACAGGTGTCAGGGGGTCAGGAGTTCAATTATACTGGTGCTATGGAAGAGTGGTGTAGCTGTATATCCAAAACAGAGACTCAACATTGAAATCATGAGATCTAAACTACAATCACAGATTTTTGAATGAAGGGTGTGGGGGGGGGGGCTGTTGGGAAGCGGGCATGTGGACACTGGTGGAAGGATGTTGACAGGTGTCAGGATTGATGTTTGATTCCAAACTATTAATGACTTTGCAAATCATGGTTTCATAATTAAATATTTCTTAAAAATGGGTAAGCTTTCGAATATTTAATTTATTTTATGTTTATGTTTGAATCACTGTATTAATGTTAGAGGCTATTTTTCAGTAGGCAATTATCTATAGTTCATATTTTTTCATAGATGTAGTAATTCAAGCCTTGATACGATTTATCCTATGATTACATATGTTAAAAAGTTATATCTTCTTATTTTTCCTCATCCTTGCTAGGTGGTGCTAGTGTGTCAGGGATCAAACCAGGATATAAATCATAATATTATCCCTATGAGTTACATTCCTAACATAGCCTCACAAGGTGTATTTTCTTTTATATCTTTCTTCCATACAATAGTAGTCAATTATTGATTGTTTATAAATATCAGATTCAAACACTATTGAATATGTTTTAATTTGATTCTCATAAATAACCTAACACTTCTCTTTTGAACTATTTCTCAAAGACTCATTTTCAACTCTAAAAAAAATGCCCTTAGGAATGTTAGTTTAGTTAGGTTATTGGTATTATTGTTGCTGTTTTTTGCTGTTTTCATTTGTTTTGTTTTGCACAGTGTTGCCAGCTTTATGGTTTCAGTTGAAATTCAGACTTCTTTAGTCTTGAGAAAGGTTTTATCTGAAGCAATGTCTGATCAAGCTACCTGACTCTCGTTAGTAGCTCTATGAATTAACTCAATCAAATAATTATTTGCATAAGATGTATACAAATCTCTGGTTTCTGACACGATTTAGTCAGTCACACACTGCTAGAATTGGTTTCCTGTCATAAAAGACACAATTATTTCTAAGAATATATTTCTCTTTAAGCTTTTCCAATACTTTAGGACAGAAAATCTCCCCAAGAACTTCTATGAAGCCAGTTTTACACAAATGCTCAACACGGATAAAGGCACTTCTAGAGAAGATAATTTCAGACCTAATTCCCTAGTGAACATCAACACAAAAATCCTCAACGAAATCTTAGCCAACGGAATCCAACAGCATATCAAAACATATATACAGTGTTTCAAGTGGAATTCATGCCAGGGGTGAAAGGATGGTTTAACACATGCAAACATATCGACATAATACCCTATAACAATAAAAGGACAAGTGAAAATTATATGGATCATACCATAAATGTCGAGAAAGTTTTTAACATGTATCAGTGTCTGTTCATGTTCAAACCCTCAGTAGAAAAGGGGTAGAAGAAGTCATTCTCATAATAGTAATGGCTTTCTATAACAAGACGAGATGGGGTGCATTCAGGTTGTATGGCCTTAGACTATAATAAATGCACAGTCATTAGAATTCTTCATTTTTTAAGAATTATCATTCTTAATCAGGCATAGAAAGTGCTCATCATCATGTATTATCAGGGAAATCCAAATCAAGACAACAATAAGATATCATTTCTCACCAGTGAGAATGGAACACATCCAAAACCTAGAGCAATCTCTATGGCAGAAACAACTTGAAAGAGGAAGTCTCACCATTACTTGTAGAAATGTTGTCTGATCTGACCCCTTCTACTACTCTGAGAGCTGAGGACTGCTTAACTTAAAATCTGAACAGAAAATTGAATATAAGTAATTTCTTGCCCTAATATTATGGTTTCATATACGCATATAACGAAAAAACTTCACATCTAGGTATATATCATAAAAGCAGAAATGCATCAACAAAAATAGCTGCATAATATCTTACTGTACCTTTTTCATGAAGCAAAATGAAAACCAACACAAATTCAATTTAATAGCTAAAGTGTTTTTTTTTTAAAAAAAGATGTAAAGGAATACATTTCCAATATATACAACAACATAAATTTATCTCAAGTATATTTTGTTGGACAAAAAAGGAGATATTGAGAAATTCAACATATGTAAAATTCCAGAACAGGGAAAATTAATTTATTACAAATAAAACGAATAACCTTTGCTGGTATAAAGTGACAGGGTATGAGAGATACACAAAAAAGAAGTAGAGATAAACATGTTGGAGAATGGAATGATTTATTGTGATATTGTTGGGGTTACCTGGGTTATATATTTGTTAAAATATGTACAAATTCACCATTGGGAAAGCATATAACCAATTTCATATAAGTTTTGCACCAATAAAGCCACCTAAAATAGTCAACATACTGAAAATATAAATTCAGGATAAAAATTATGAATATTAAAGTGAATCAAAATTTAAAAAGAAAATGATGTTTAGCTTCTGAAAATATTTATCAGCTATTCTATTTCTGGAAAATAATATTTCAAAAATTGTTGTGATCATTCAATATATATTATGTGACTTTATTACCATGTTTATGTTGACTGCTTTTGAGTTATCAGTTAATTATATTTAAAAAATTCGTTTAAATACATATCATTTTCAATACATGTTTTTGCTCATTCCTTAATTCATATACTTAAACAAAAATCTGGAAATAAAGAGCTTTCACATTTTAATGCTAAACCTAAATAATTCATATGATATTCTAATTATTCATCATGAATATTTATCAGCATTAGTACTTTAATTGATTATATATTTTTTATTTCTATGAAAAACTGGTTCCTATGCACTGCGCTGCACTGTCCTCCCGTTGTTCATCGATTTGCTCAAGCAGGCAGCAGTAACGTTTCCATTGTGAGTCTTGTCACTGTTTTTGGCATAACCATACATCATGGGTATCTTGCCAGGCTTTGCTGTGCAAGAAGAATACTCTTGGTAGCTTGCCTGGGTCTTCGAGAGGGTTGGAGGAATTAGGTTGCTGCATGCAAGGCAAACGCCCTACCCACTGTGCTATTGCTACAGCCCGGTTCCTATGACAATTTTATATTTCATAGATAAAATATAAGAAAATTGTAATTTAAGAATAATCTGAAACACTTTCAAACTTTGTGCACATATATGTAAACACACATGATTTTTAACATTTAAAATACATTTTTATCATTCTTGCTTGAAAGAAGCTTAAGTGGTACCAATACTTTATAGCAAATAAAATGTCACATGCTCACTTAGGCAGTACATATACTAAAATTTGAACAATACAGAGAAGATCAGCATGGCCCCTAAACAAGAATGCCATGCAAATTCATGAAGTATTCCATATTTTTGCAAAGGGAAAGTGATGCAGAAGAACCTCACCAGGCTTAATGAATGAAGATGTTAGCCCAGATGGACAATCAGAATTTAGAGAGGAATTGTTGAGGATGTTTAAGGAAGAAGGGGAACAGAAGCGAAATTGGGGACATTGGTGGCAGGAAATGTACTCTGTGAAGGAATGGGTACGGAACATTGTACTCAAACAAGCATAACTCTGGAACTTTATCTCATGATAATTCTATTAAAAACAATGAAATATGACTATGTGATTTGACTGGTGCTATGTAACTGGAAGCTTTCTTGATGTCAAAGCATTTAGCAACTCAAAATTAGGAACCTTTTCAGGTCAGTAATTCAAATCCAGGGTCAATTTAGTTTAATTTGACAAAATGTAAGTTTAAAGTACAAAATATATTAAAATTAGCGCTACTTGTTACTGATTTAAAAGAACAAGAGGCATAGCATGGTTAAAATCTTGACAGAATGATATTCTGCTGGATCTTTAATTTCAATGAACACTACATATTTATGTAAAAAAGCTCATGATATATGTAAGTGAACCTCACCAAGATCTAGAAAATTGTATTTTCTCTTTAAATATCCCTCCGGGTATAAAATATATTTTAACTTTTAGCATATTTTATTTTAAATTGTGTAATTTACCTTGTGTTATCATAAATCTTTAATTTATGGAATCCAAATTAATTGGGGATTTATCCTACGCTTATGATTTTAGTTTGATGTAACTTTTAATGAAATCACTCTTCTCATCAAGCTATATAAATTTATTTAGAGATTGATAGCTGGGGAGAAAATAAATCAAAATAAATATTCAATATGATTAAATCATTCCTGATCTATAAATAGACTTTTGATTTGTCAGGTAGTGGTTTTAACTACAGGACTCAGTTTGCATTTAAAACAGAAACTATACGTTTTACTTTTATGTACTCTATATAAAACCCACAAGTTGTTATAAATTATCTAACAACATTTAAATTGAAATTTTTAGAGGATATATATAGCTTTGAATCCAGATAACTAATTTAAAAGAGTGTTTATTTTTTAGCAGTACTGTTTTCTATTTTTAAATTTGTGTTCAAAATACAATTGTTATCGTTGCTAGTTTTAAGATTAGTACACAAAACTGATGTTTTCTCTCCAATGCTAAATAAAAATGAATGACACTAGGTCTGAAAATTCTCTTCCCTCTGCTCTCTGTTGAAATGAGTGAGAAGATAGTCAGCTTGCTTTCTGGAGACAGGTGTATTTCTAACACCTGTCAAGTCTTCTAAAGAGAGAAATATCTATAAAGTCCTTTCTGTCTGAGCCTGAAGTCTGACACCAATTCTTAGGAAAGCGATATGGCTACATCCCAGGATTTGGCTGTGGCCATGCTTTTAGCAGAAAATGTTACCTCAGGGTGCTGTTGTAACTACTAACTTCATCTTCAGTGTTACATGAGTTACAACTCATTTGTTTAGCTTTTAAGGAGGCATTTCTAGAAGAAAAAAGAAAGCAGTTTATGAATCTGTGTTCAAAAATTAATTTAAAGAGTGATTCAATATTAATAATCATTATACCATGATAAGAGAACAGCGACAAAGTAGCAAGAAACTTACACCCAACCTGGGACAAAAAGTTAGGTTGAGAAATTGAGTGCATGTTTTGAATGCAAGAGGTCCACATTTGATATCTAGCACCGCCTGGTTTCCAATATACCAATGCGAGCAATGCCTGAGGCTGGTATTCTACAAAAATAAAACAAACAAATAAAAATGACACTTTCTAATGGCTATAAAGTGTTTGACTGGAGAATGAAGAAATAAAATTCACAACAGATTTGGGAGCAATGCACCTTTCTACACATCCATTACACCCTGATTTATAGAAAACTTAATAATTATATAAATCAGCCTCCATGACTTCTGTCCCATGAAGAGCATTCACAGCATGTGCTTAGCTATCACCTCTATCATTATACAAATAAATTAAAGTGCCCAAGAACAACTCATCCCATAAAAATAAAGTTGCTGGCAAAAGAATTTCAAACTCCTGGCTCCTCCAGACAATGTCTTAGAAACCACCAACCCTCATTATTGTCCACCCTAACACTGGCAAATGACCAGATAACAGTTAAGGGAATGAAAATAATTTATTTCGGGCACTTGAAACCAGCTGCTATTAAATCATTTCTGCACTAAATGTACACAGAAGTCATTTTCTAACTATCCTCGAATGTAAGCAAATTATCTCTAGAAAATGGAGTTGATTTTTTCTTAGTACAATGTAATATTTCAGAGAAGAAACATTTCTATATCTCTTTAGTGTATAAAAAAGTCGCTAACATAAAATCAACAGGTAAATTGTTAGAACTTTGGTTATGGTGATAGTCATTAAGCTGGAGGTCCTAAGTGATACATGTATGAATGCTTGGTTGAGAACTGCAAACATTGGAGACTTTAATCACAGAGATTTCAGGTAGACTTATTTAAGATATTATAACCAGAGGTAATGTGCTAAGTAAAGTTAAACCTGCTTATGTGGAAAATTGTGTATTTAAGGCACTATTGATATGTTAAAAAAATGTTTTGGTTTGATCTTCAGTATTTCCCCGCTTATTACACTGACAGGAATGACCACGGTAGCATTCAAGAAAATTGGGGTTCAGCCTGCCCCTAGTGATTGCAAAATGCTGCCGTGCATGGCCTTGGCAGGAAATAATAATAGTTAAAAGTTCTTTAAAAAAGGATAGGTCCTCATAATATTTTTGAATTACTATTCAAAAAAGGCAAGGTAATAAATGATTTCAAATACAAGTATGACTTGAACAGATGAGTAATTAATTAAGAGAATACTTTGACCCATAATAACAAATTATTTTTTCACTGAATTGATAAAAACTGATAGTGAGCAAATCAGAAAATTTAATTTGGAAAATATTAAAATATTCTAGGTCAAGATAAAAAGCAACTGCGCTACTGTTCTGAAACAGAAGAAATTATATGCCAATTTATGGCAATTTCCCCACATATATGTTGACATGTTAGGGAAAGATTATTGTGATAATTGCAATTATATGCAGATACAAATACAAATACAACTGGAGAGATAGTACAGTGAGTTGGTTGATTGCTTTATATGTGGCCAACCTCAGTTCAATCCTTTGTACCTCTATGGTCTCCTGAGACCATCAGAAATGATTCCTGAATACAGAGCCATGTGTAATCGCTTAGCATTGCCTGTATGGACCAAACCCCACCCACCCAAATTTAAAAGTACCAGCGCGTGTTAACACTAGGTTTTCAATGGTGTTTCTCAGTTAGGAGACATTTGTACTCCATGGAGCCAGCAACGTAAAACTTAAGCAGCAATTAGTATGATGAAAGGCCACAGAACAGAAGCAAGGATGGATGGGAGGCACAGTTGAAAAAAATGTTGAGAAACACTGATTTACACTACACTGTAGTATATTAATGTCTGCAATACTATTGCCTAAAAATGTAAACTTAATTAAATATAATTATTAACATATCAAGCATCCTCTGGCCATTCAGTGAGTTATATAAATATATATATAGTTATGTATACAAATATTTATATATATTCATATATAGTATAGAATATTGCCTCAATATTAATATCTGTTAGCTTATCAGGGTGGTTATTGAAGATAGTAGGTGTGGCAATATCAATTTATTAAACAATATAGTTTTCCATACTTATTGAATATTTTTTATTAAAATTTTCAATGCATTTTATACAATTTTATACAGAGCATTTTCCCATAAAATCTGGAATCAATATTTTTTTAAATTTCCTGCTGCTATATCAAACATATGTTATATTTTAAATTATACTTTTAATTCAAAGATGTCCACATCTTCACCAAGAATAGATTTGATTTCAAGATGCTGATTTTATTTTCTCATTTGTATTAAGCAACTCCTCATTCAGTCATGTATAGCCTCAAAATTGTAGCAATTTGGTAAGATATCTGGACTCTATTTTTAAATATCTTCTGTATCAATAATATCTGTACTATTTTCTCTTCTGAAATATTGAGGCTTAGTCATTGATGAACCACGTAATCTTCTTCTTCCAATTATCTATTACTATTGATATATTGATCTCTACATATGAATTTCAAAAAATTTAATAGAACTAGAATGGTGAATCATTTCAAAAAACATTTTTAACATTACCTTCTCCATTTTGATCAGAAGGATCACTATCTGTAAAAGATATACCCACAAAAATGAATTCTTTAAATAATAATGCCTAAAATTCCATCACTTTTTATGTGTGTGCCAGATAATAAATATGTGCTGTTGGTCGTGAAGATAGAATAAGTCTCCTTGTACATGTTTATCAAGGTACATTTCCAATAGGCACTATTTTGAAACTTTTTTTTTAATAATTCTGGGCAATAGTTATAAGCGATATGGACCTAAAATATTCAATAGTCCCAGTTTTAAGATTATGTGATATTACATATATTTTGCTGGAGTTTTATTTATAAAGTTCAGGAAGAATATATTTACCATTATTCCAAAAGAGTCTAAGATTTGAGATAGCAAATGAGCATTGGTTTCAACTTAAAGTTGCCATTTGCATTGCTTCTCATAACAGATCTGTCACTGGTTACTTTCTTTAGCTACGAAAATTCAAGCACCAACATCTTCAGGTACCTTTTTTTTTTTTTAATATACACACAAGATATTTTAACTAGTGTGATCAGTTTGGGTCATTTTATTGGATATACGTCCAGTTGACTTCAGGATAAATGACTCTAGTTTCTGCAGGAATACTTTTTGCTTTACCTTGCACATGTATGTAATGGACTATTTATTTATTCAAAACTCCTAAGGCAGTCTCTAATAGCTTCCAAATTTTCTTCTGTAATTTCCTCATCTCTCTCAATTTTCATCGAATTAAAGAATGCACAATATTTAGGATTAGCCTATTGTTTCAGTGGATGCTTCGGCCAGTTTGATAGTTTATCCAAATC